CCCAGCTCTTTGAGGTATCTCCATATTGATTTCCATAGTGGCTATACCAGTTTGCACTCCTACTAACAATGGAGAAGAGTTCCTTTCTCCCAACAACCCTGCCAACATTTGTTATTGTTTGATTTCTTGATAGCAGCCATTCTTTGTGGGGTGAGGTGAAATCTCAGTGTTGTTTTCATCTGCATGTCTCAAATGACCATTGATGTGGAACATTTTTTCATATATTTATTTGCTGCTTTTACTTCTTTGTCTGAGAAATGTCTGTCCATTTCAGATGCCCATTTTTGAATCAGGTCTTTATATTGGGGGGGCTGATTGAGTTTTTAATATATTCTAGATAATAGTGCTTTGTCTGAGGAGCAGCTGGTAAAATATTTTTCCCACATTGTAGGTTGTCTTTTATTTCTGTTGATGGCTTGTTTTTCAGGGCAGAAGCTTTTTAATAAGATGAGATCCCAGTTGTTGATTCTTTCTGCTAGTTCCTGTGCTACTGAGGATTTGTTCATAAAGTCTTTTCCTATGCCAGTGTCTTCAAGAGTTCTGCCTAACTTATCATCCAGCAAGTTTAGTGTATTTTTAATATTAAATCTTTAATTCACTTGGATTTTAGTTTAGTGCATGGTAAAAGATAAGAGTCTAGTTTTAATATTTGGCAGGTTGAAATCCAGTTTTTCCAACACCATTTATTAAGGAGACTATCTTGCCTCCAGTAAGGATGGTCAGTTCCCTTTGTCAAAGATAGTGTAGCTGAATACATCTGGAGCAGTTTTTCTATCTTCCAGTCTGTTCCCCTGATGCTCAGGTCTGTTTCTTTGCCAGTACCATTCTGTTTCTTATCACAGTGGCTTTTTAGTATAGTTTCAAACTGGGAATTGTTAAACCTGATGCCATGTCTCTGTTGCCTAGGATATCTTTTGCTATGCTAGATATCTTATGGTTCCAGATGAATTTTTGGATTCTTTTTTCTAGTTCTGTGAAATATAGTGTTGGAATTTCAATTGGCATTGCATTGAATCTGTATAGTAGTTTTGGTAGTATGGCCATTTTCACTATTATTGATTTTTCCTACCATGAGCAGGGGATATTTTCCATTTTCTTAAATTCTCTTCAGTCTCTTTTTTCAGAGTGCTGTAGTTTTCAGTATAGAGGTATTTTGCTTCTTTCATTAGATGATTCCTAGATACTTCATTTTTTTGGATGCTATTGTAAAAGAAATTGTTTCCCTAATTTCTCTCTCAGTGAGTCTGTAGTTTATGTACAAGAAGGCTATTGATTTTTGAGTGTTGACCTTGTATCCAGCGAATTTGTTAAAAGTTCCAATTAAGTCTTGAAGTCTTTTGGTGGAATTTTTTGGGTCTTCAATGTAGAGTATCATATCTTCAGCAAATAATGACAGTTTAACTTTTTTCTTTCCTATCTTTTTTGCTTTAAATTCTTTCTTTTGTCTAATTGCTGTGGCTAATGTTTCCAGAACTATATTGAAGAGGAGTAGTGATAATGGGCATCCTTATCTTCTTGATTTTAACGTGAAGGTTTTCAGCTTTTGGCCATTTACTATGATGTTGGCTGTTGGTTTTTCATAGATAGTCTTTATTAAGGTGAAATATAGACCATCTATTCCAATTTTTTGCAGCGTTTTTATTATGAACGGGCGTTGAATTTTTGTCAGATTCTTTTTCTGTACCTATCAAGAGGATCATATGGTTTTTGTCCTTGACTCTGTTAATATAGTATATTACATTTATTGACTTACTTATGTTGAACCAAACTTGCATCCCTGGTATAAATCCAACTTGGTTAGGATGTAGGATCTTCTTGATGATCCTCTGTATTCTGTTCACTAGTATCTTATTAAGGATTTTTGCTTATATTCATTATTCATTAAAGAGCCTGGCCTGTAGTTCTCTTCTTTAGTTGAATCTTTCCCTGGTTTGGGAATCAAAGTGATATTTGCTTCCAGGAATGAATTTGGAAGTATTTCTTCTCTTTCAATTTCATTGAAAAGTTTGAAGAGTAAAGGCAGCAGTTCTTCTCTAAATGTCTTGTAAAATTCAGCAGTGAATCCTTCATGACATGGGCTTTCCTTGTTGGTCAATTTCTAATTTTCTAATTACATTTTCACTTTTACTGATTGCAATTCAGGTATTTAAAATGTAGTTATCTTTTTTGTTCATCTTTGGTAATTCATAAGTATCTAGAAATCTGTCCATTTCTTCTGTGTTTTCCATTTTATTAGATTACAGGTTCTCAAAGTAGGTATTGATTATCCTATGGATTTCTCTTGGATCTGTTGTGATCTCACTTTTTTTATTCCTAATTCTATGGATCTTAGCCTTTTCTTTCCTTTTTTTGATAAGTTTAGCTAAGGGTTTATCTATTTTATTTATTCTTTTAAAAAACAACTCTTTGATTCATTTATTCTTTTGTGTCATTTTCGTAGTTTCCATTGCATTGATTTCTGCTCTAATCTTTATAGTTTTCTCTTTTACTAGCTTTGGATTTTTCTTGCTCTTGTTTTCCTTGTAGTCTAAGATTCATCACTAGGTTGTTTATTTGAGCTTGCTCTGTTTTCCTAGTGTGGACATTCGGTGCGATGAATTTTCCACGTAGAACTGCTTTCATTGTGTTACATACATTCCTGTATGTTGTATTGGCATTATTTATTTGTAAAAATTGTCTAATTTCTTCTTTAATTTCCTCTGTGATCCATTGATTGTTCGGAAGAGTGTTGTTCAATTTCTATATCTTTGTGAAGTACCTATGGTTTCTTATATTATTCATCTCCAGTTTGATTGCACTATGATTGGATAATATACAGGGGATAACTTTGATTCCTTTGCATGTATTCAAACCTTTTCTATGAGGTAGTATGTGGTCTATCTTGGAGAATGACCTATGTTCAGCCAAAAATAATGTATATTCTGATTTTGTGGGGTTGGCAACTCTAGAGACGTCTATTAAGTCCATATGTTCAAAAGCTTGGTTCTGTTCTAGTATTTTTGTTGATTTTCTGCCTAGATGATCTGTCTCTTTGTGACAGTAGGGTATTTAGATAGCCCAATACAATTGTATTAGTTTTTATTTAGTTTTTAGTGTTATTTGATATTCATTTTATATTGTTGGGGGAATTAATATTTGGTGCAATACATGGTTGCAGTACATGCATTTTACAAGGATCTTGGGGAATGGTTATATGGACATAATATAGATTGGTTATATTTTTAAAATCCTTACCCCCTTCCCTACTGCCTCCCTTCCTCCACCTCTAAATTCCCTTTCCTGTTTCAATTCTTATTGATAATAATAAATTGTCTCATTTTTTACTGTATTTAGGACAGAAATATTCAACCTTTTCTTCAATGGTGTAGCATGCCTGGAAGATTCTGCTCAGTTCTGAACATAGTGTTTTCAGACGTTTGATACTCCAGGGACTACCAGTGAGGAACAAACTTATGCATGTAGGCCTAGCAGTGTTAGGAGAAGTTGAGCAGGTTCTAAATTGAGAATGAAAATTCAGGAGTACAATTTTAAGTCATGTATGGTGGCTCAAGCCTGGTCACTTCATAAAAATGCATTTCAAAAAACATTAAATAACCTGGAGATGAAGTAGGACCATTCACTCAAATGCAATCTTAAATTGAAATACACAGAAGAAAAAAAGTTAGTCACTAGGAATGGAATGGTTATTACAGTCTCTTTAAATATCCTTGTACACACTACCCCTCAGAGACTGCAGAACACCTGTGCTTTTGCTCATTCTTGTCTGAAGAATACATTATTCTTTATATGTCACATTCAAGCAGTGGTCTTTTACTGTCACCTCATTGGTAGTTTAACAGAAGTCTTAATTTGAGTTTGAAATAAATACTTTCTAAGAGTGAAACACATGATTCCACAGGTGAGCTAATGGTGAACTTTTGTTTCATAAAATCGCTTGTCATTTGTTGCTGAATTATATACATACTAAATGCCATTTTCCCAAGTATCTAGAAATCAACAGGTAGGAAATTAATTAGGAAACATGAAAGTATTAGAAACTTCAAAACTAAACAGGTTTTCTCACAATTTCATGCCCTAGGAAGAGAAAAATGCAATCTGAGAGTTGATGTTATGCATGCATTCAGGAGGAATAAGAGGAGTCGAGAGATTGCTCTGAGCCTAAAGAGAAGAAAATTTTTTGTTGACATTTGTGTGGGTGGGTTGGTATGTCTGTGCCTGGGATTAAACTCAAGACTTTGCACTTGCCAGGCACATATGGCATCACTGAGCTACATCCCTGGCCCTATTTTTATCTGTTTTTTTTTTTCATGAATTTAAGCTGAATCCTGTCAGCAATGGGAAGTCTATGATAGCAGCAGTGATGTCAGAATCTTTCCTCTCTTGTGCTTCTGTCCAGTTCCAATGTTCAGAGAAATGGAACCATGAGATTGAAGGAAGAAATCTTGACATCATCTACAATCCCTGCTGAGTCCTTTGAGCCTCCTTAGAGGGGAAGAACGTATTAAGGAGCAAACATGATATGGAGTTGTACCTCGACCAGACTGGATTTTTATACTCTAAGTGATTAGAACATTTGGAGAGTATCCAAGGAGATGCTAGGATGATAGGTGTGCAGGGGAACATGGGTGATGCTGGGAAGGTGTGTGTATGGTTGAAGACAGGAGTTGGCACAATCCAAAGCCAGTTCATGTTCATGTCCTAACAAATATTAATTGATTTCATAAACTTCTGTTTTTAGGAACATTGTAGTTACAGAAGAGCTTGTATCCCTATCAATTCATTTTAAATTTATCTCAAAGAACGTGGCTGACTTCCTCACGTTAAGAAAATTCATTCTTCTTTATGGCATGAATATAATGATTAATACTACTCTTAGAAGTTTTTCTTATAACATTCCCATTAACTCAATGTGTTTCTAAAGTAACTCATTCTTTGTCTTAATTGTGAAGCTGGTTTTCATTAATTGTGACCAATTTGGGTCAGAAAATTTCAATGCTGATGATACTTTTGGCAATGTTAAAAGGATGTTTTATTTTTAAGAGAAAAATCCTTCACCACAACACTGCAGCATGCTTTTAATAATTATAAATCCTAAACCTTTCCAAATGATGAATTCTTAAAAACCATCTCAGAAACAAAAGGTAAGGGTAAGTTATTACAATCATTGTCAGGGAAAGCTCGGCACTTCAGTAACTGAAGAAATGATTCAATCTTTTGTAAATCAGTGAACAGGCAGTTCAGTGTGTTATAAAATGTAGACAGGAAAGATTTTTCATCAGGTGACTGCAGGGATTGAAGTTCTGGCCATGAAGGATATTCCACTTTGTCTGTGATTTCAAGACCAAGCTAGACAAAAATATAATCAATTATTAAAAATATTATCAGTATTTGTATATATTCAACTTTCAATTTTTTAAATTGAGATTTGAGAATTAATGGAAATGTATAACTATAGTCAAAGCATAAGTTTTTCTGTATCCTGTCCACCATAGGTTTATGATGATAAACCTATCATTCATCTAAAAGCTAGCAGCAGGACACAGGTACTGTTTTCCCAACATGCAAATGACCCCAGGTGAAGTGTGTTCCGGCAAGGGTGGACTGGTGGAGATCCAGAAAGTCCCTACTTATGTATAGACATGGAATTCAGCAAGAATAATGGAGAGGCTCCTTCCATTCCTGCACAGGGGGACCTTTCACATTTCTTGAAACTTGTCCCTGATATTCCACTTCAAATTCACTTCGTCCAATAGTTCAACATTAATTGTTTGTTGCTTTGAACTGAACCTATTTTGTGTATGGATCTGTACTAAAATTCTAGAGATTGTGAGGACCGTCCTTGGTGTGTTAAACTGCGGACACTCAAGTTGTGATGGACAAAAAAATTCACAATATCTCATTCTGCCCATGAAAAATAATTTACACATAAATATGGGACACAGATAATTTCTTTTGAGTTCCCTGGGGTGTTATCTGTTGGAAGAAATGTGTATAATGAGGGTGCTGGCAGCAACTGCCATGGTGAAGGCTGTGCTGTGGAGAGGGGGAGATTGTGCTTCAGGAAAGTGCTGCACAGAGCAGGAGAGAGAACAGTGGGCCCTGGGCCCTCTGGGGGCCTCTGGAAGCTGGGAGACCTTCAGATCCCAGAGACCCGGTGTCACTGTGCTGCTTCTAAAGGCATCAACTCATTTCCAGAACTATGAGGTACAAGTCTGGAGTAATTGTAGACCCTGATCTGCTGAGCTTCTCCAACAGATTAACCATATATTTTATTAAAAAAAGAATATATTTTATTGAGATTTGAAGCATATGTGTTTATAATTACCTAGTTTTAGGCTTTTTTCTTTCCAGGTTTGAGACATATGATAATATTTCCTATGCAAAGTACCAATCTATGCATGGTAATATATAATTAGTGGTTTAAAAAAAGAAAAAAAAACAAATTTTATAGAACCTATTCATGACCTCAGCAAGCTCACTCACAGTAAGAAAGAAACTTGAAATTCAAGTGTTTTTTTCCATGGTTAAGGTGGTCTTTTTTGGGGAAGACAGAGAGTCTTTTCCAATGAAATTGTAACTAGTAACATATGCTTAGTGAAAAAATAAATATAAAATAATTTTTGTTATTATACCTAAAATCAAATATCTTTAATACATTTTCATGAGAATTCCAAAAAGGTACCTATCATATCATTACTGTTGGAATTTTTCTATATGAATGGATATACATATTGAAAATATGAACCAGTCTCAGTATGCCATATTATCTCTAAAGAATAAATGTAATGATATAAATTTTCATTTAGGAAACTGAGGAAACCCAAAACTTAGAATGACATTTAAATTAGAACAGAAGGAACACTCCAGAATAGAAACAGCTATTCCTTGAAGAAGCTCCAGCCTCTGGTGCTTGAGGGACAGTCCTGGTGGTCTGGCTTCCTCAGTTTACTCTGGCTAGGGTATGGGGCAGACGTTCCTATATTACTGTGATTTTTTTCCCCCTTTTCCCTTCCCACTCTCATCTTCTGGTATGAGGAAAATACAGAAAGAATGTGCCCAAAATTCCTGTGTGACTGTCATAAACTACTTTGAAGAAGATATTTCTTTTGCAGATTTTCTGCTCTGATTTTATTTGCTGAAAATATTTTACAACTGACCCCATGAAGGGACAGCCCTTGGGGACACTGGAGACACTGTGGGAAGGTGGCCCCTGTGGGGACAGGGAACCCAAACCCTTGTTTGCATTGGAATCTGCATGGTGGTTGGCTAGGGTTCCTATTTTGTTCAATAGTAGAGCTAAAGTTGCAACATTCAGCCTCAGTATTGTTCATACAGAGTGATTTTAAATTTATCTCACCACAGTTGGAAACTCATTATCAGAAAATAAAGGAAGCACAGAAATGCTGCTCACCTGGCTAGATATCAGCTTTATGAGTTCTTTAAGTTCTTGATGTATTTCAGAAATACTCTCTCCTTGGAGGGTGAAAAAATTATGCAATTTTGTCAGGCGATGCTCTTCCAGAGCCAGATACATCAGAGGCTCATTCCAGGCATTCAGGTAATGGATAACGGTGTGGATAATATCGTGATGCTATGCAGCCAGTGTGCAGTAATCACAAAAAATAAGTGAGATGGAGCTGGGTTAGTGACATGAGACTTTTGCTCAGAGAGGCAGAAGTAATATATTTCTTTACTGTTTTGTGTATATAAAATTTTTCTCTAGATGGTAGAAGTTGTAAGAAAAATACACTTCAATCTATCAGCCTACACTGTGGTATAGTAAAAGCAATACATTAAAAAACTGCCTTACAGAAATAATTTTTTCTACTGAGAGTTTCAATAGCTACCAGTCAATTTTATTTTCCTTCTGTAGTCTACCATTTATTTAAAATCAGGTTAATGCTTTGTTTATGGCAGCAAGTCATATAAGAGAAATAGTAACACTAAAAAAAAAGAACATAAATGAGTGACTAATGTTTAATGTGTAGACTTTTTTGTAATCAGAACAGAAGACAGTGTTGTACCTGTATGAACTGTGACATAATGATGAACAGGACATGCACAGAGGAGGACTTTCAGGTGGGACACAGGAGGAGGCAGGAGAGTCAGTACAGAATGAAGTTTGCATCAGAGAAGGGGAAGCAGAAGGAAAAGGAGAAGGAGATGGAGAG